CTTCAATATTTTATATCAATGAAATATAAAATATTGAAGAAAAACTTTTAATTTTGAGAATTTTCGCCGTGCATTTAGAAAAGTATTGTCTTACTATTATATTTGGACATTCTTATATACGGACGCTCCTGAGACAAAGCGTCGCGCTCCTTAGTTACGCGTATCTGGCGACTCGTCGTTAACGTATGAGCGGTGAGTGGGGGGCAATAGGCGCGAGCCACGGAATCGGGCCGAAATGTGCAACTAAATCCGAGCACTGATCTAGACCATAGACATAGTATATCTAGACCGAGTGTTGAGGAGTGGGAGCCGAGGTGATCTGCCTCCAGCGCGTACATAATCTATCACTTCCAGATTAGTCCTGCCAGTGTAGGGATGCTCACCCAACGATGTAATTTCCCACGTTAGAATCCCGAATGACCAAACATCGCTCTGGGAAGTAAATATACCAATCACCAAAGATTCCGGTGCCATCCAGCAAACAGGAAGAAGACCTTGTCCTTTCTAAAACATATGATTTTAACGTTAATCTTCTGGATCAAGTTGTCCATTTTTAATCTTTGTGTTAATGCCAAAAATGTTTACTTATCTCTCGCTTTATATAAATAAAAATAATCTATGTTTTTCAAGTTCTATGCAAAATTAAAATATATTATATTATTATGACAAAAAAAAACATTTCTAGAAAATTTCATTTTTTTATGATAATTGTATTTACCATCCGAAAATAGTCATCCTTGTAAACATCTCTGGCTAGTCCAAAATCGCCAATTTTAATGACACGGTTCTCGCGATCTCTCGCGGATACTAAGCAATTTCGACACGCGAAATCTCTATGAACGAAACGCAGATTTTCCAGGTAGCAACAGCCTCGTGCAATATCTTCGCACATGGCAAACAAATCTTGCAGACGCAGAGTGTGCGAATTTGACGGTTGCAAGTTTCTACTATCTCTCAAATATTGTAGCAGATCACCAACTTCCATTAATTCCAACACGATTAATGGAGAATCTTCGTCTAAGCAGACGGCCAGCAATTTTAGCACATGTTTGTGTCGAAAGCGATTCATAATCCTGGCCTCTTTGAAAAACTTCTTTTTCTCTTGCAAAGAAGCATTTTTTCGAAGCATTTTTATGGCAGCGGGTATCTCTATGCCCGGTCTTTCTAAATTCTTTACTTTTCCTTGAAACACCTGCAAAATATTTGAAATAAATTTAAATTTATACTTCATTAAAAAATATATAGTTTAACATCACAAGTATTCACATTATTTCATTTCATTTCAAATAATTTAACGAAAAATACATAGTAGAGTGCATGTGTATGTTATTTCACAAAAATTTTGCATTATTCATAATCTCTTATAAAAAAATATTTATGTAATTATTTTTATCGAGAAATGCGTATCTATTTCAATTTTTGTACATCTAGATATTAATAGCGTATAACATTGCATCGAAAAAATTAGTTTATACCATTCCGAATGCGCCGCTGCCTAAAAGTTTTCCTAATCTGATTTCCTCACGTTTGATTTTAGTCAGTACATATTCATCCGAATTATATTGCAACATAGGACTGTATAACGTATTGAATTGAACGTTACCGTTAGGTATCTCATGTAGAATCGCTAATTCGATGTCGGTCATTATCGGAGGAAAAACATGCTCGTTATCTTCTTTGCGTTGTCGGTATACTGTTATAAGATTACAATATACTTATCTAATAGTATGCATTGCAAAATTTATATCGCCTTTTCAACAAGTAAATTTACTTTTCTTAGCAAACCTATATATGCATATTACAATACATTATATATAATCTCTTTCTGCAATTAAAGACTTAAATATATATTAAATATACTTACAACGGTAAAAGCAGATTACAGTCACTATAGCGACAAGGCTTAAGGTAAATGGTACGTAATATTGCATTATTAATGTTCCAGAAGTGCTCGAAATATTACCTTTGTTACGTAAAAATTTATTTTTAATATCTTCATTTTATTTAAAAACTTTCTTCTACTTATAACTTTATTATTAAAAATTACTAAGTTTTTAAATTTTGTAATCATTTTTATATCTAAAATAAGTATATAATGTTATATCTTCATTTGCTTACTTGTCATTGTTCAAAAGTAAATCTTCCATCAAATGGCCATGTAAAGTTTTTCTCGTATTTGGGGTATTTCAGTATCAAACGAAACTCGTATCGAGTTCCTGGTAGTAAGTTTTTTATATAGTACATTACTTTTCCTTTATTATTCGGCTCAAAGTTGTTTGCAATTTGCCACTTTTGCATCTCAACATTTTTGTATTCCAATTCATAATGAATTGTCAAATTAATGCTAGGAATCCACGAGATATTCATACCGTTAATGCTAACCTCGTTCAAAGTTATATTGTTTGGTTCCGAATACATGTACAAAGTTTTGCTCAAACTGTCAATATGAAGTTCGCTGTAGTTGGATAAATGCGTACATATACCTTATACTTCTGTTTTGATATCAATGGTTCAATTATCGTGAAAAATTTGCTGTCTATCTTATGTTCGGTTTTATTGTATATTATAAATTTTCTCGACTCGTATATTTGTCGCGTATTGTTTACTAAAATAATTAATATCCAGTATACTTCGTAGATCACGGAGTCGCAGTTCAGTTTCTTGGATGGTATCCAATAAACTGCTGCTTTAGTAGGCGTCAGAGCCTCAACTGTCACATTTTCCGGTGCATCGAATTTGCTCGGTCTAGTTCTTAGTATCATTTCCGAGCCGAACGGGTCCATCGATAATTGATCAGAGTAAAAATTGTTTGTTACTAACAGTAACTTGTACTCTGTAAACGATATTAAATTCTGAATCTCGTAATATCGCTCATATGTCTGCACAATGAAATTATCGAACTTGTTAAGCTCATTATTTAAACAATAGCTTGTGATGTTGATGGTATACAGGGTGGTAGGTAAGTTGTACTTTTTGCATCCACTCTTAGGGACCGGTTCCGGAAGATTTACGATGATACTATTCGTCGTTACTTCTTCATTTAAGAATCCATTATAGAACTCGACAAATGTTCTGGGATATGTTGGTTTGCTCAAAATGCTTTCTAGAAATTTTACAATTTTATATATTGGCATAATTATATACACAAATATTAAGTTGATTATCTCAATGATTCTAAAAAAAAATAATTTAAAGTAAAAATAAAAGCAAGAAAAAAAGATAGAGTTAAATTACAAAATATGGAAATTAGCACAGTAGGTGTTGACTTTTAAAATAATAAAATAATATAAAAAGTTTGCGTGTTTTCAAAATTAAAAAGTAATTGTCAATCCAAAACAAAAACAAACAAAAAAATTTTTGATAAAGCATTAAGCGTTTTTCAGAAATTTCTTATTGATTGAAGAATCAGAAGTATAATATTCGTGATTGTTTTGAAGAAAATAAACTAGCAAAATTAAATAATATAATTGACTGCGTTATAGTAAATTTTAACTAATTTTACATACAATATGTGGATTCTTTTTTCTCTTTTTGCGACAAAATGAGATTTATATTTTTCTCGCTGTTGAAAGATATTTGTTTTTAGATTTCATTTTTATTCTCTCTTAAATTATACTTACAATTTTTTTGTCGTAGACTTTTCTTTTAACGATTTATACCTTTCTTTACAACTTACCTTTATTAGGTTCTGAAATCAATGACATATTTGCAAGTGGAATCTCATCAACTTTGTTTCTCACACTCGCATTATCAAGATAACTGCGGTCAGATTCAAAATTTTGTAAAATATGATAATCGTTGTTCTCAGATACTGGAATATCCTGGATAAAATATAACATACGAAAAGAATTAAGTAAGCACCGCTGGGCGAAAAATGCGGTTATTTTCGATACTTTTAATGATAAATAATAGATGTACTAAGTAAATACTAATGTATGTAATAAGTAAATCTGCCCTGAAATTTCTTGTTTGTTTAATCATATAGACGTGATATTTTTCTTTCACCTCTCTTGATTGATAATGTGTTTAAAACATACAGTAGTGTAGTTACATTAAAAAAAAAAAATCTGTTTTTATTGTTTTGCAAGACTTCTTAAAAAAATCTGTTTTTATTGTTTTTTATATGCAAGATCTTTTTGCATATCTATTATGATTCTTATATCAAACAAAGAGGACTATCGTACACAAATTGATGTAATTGCATCAAATAGATGTCAATAAGACCGTCTGAACCATGAGCATGTGTAAATCAATATATTGACTTAATGCTCGATGTTTGTTGATCCAGACTGTCTGCTACGCACATGCAGCTATATCAATTTGTATGTGATAGTCACACAGAATAGATTAATGAGGATTGATAAGAATTCATATAACCGCTTCTCTTAGCAAATAATACATGAAAATGTAGATTTTTTCAATTGTTGAAACAATTTTGTTTAACGATTTAGTTTTTTTACGGTGAAGT